ACTTGTGGCCTTCCTCCGTATACCCGTTTTTATCCAAATAAAATGCATTGTGTTTTTAAACTAGAAAAGTTGATTTGTGTTTGGTAAATGTAAAATTTCTAGTAAAGTGTTTAAAAGCTGTTCTGTTTATTTAGAAAAGAAATGTCCACTTCATATGGAAAGACACTATCACGTTTATATACAGTTGAAGTCTATATATCTTATTTTTACACTGGAACATGAACACAACCCACATTTGTGGATCTGTGGGACGTTGGCAAGGGGAAATTTGTTTCAATTTGTAAGTGAGCAAGAGGAAAGTCGTGTGCAGTGTTGGTCAAGTTACTTGAAAAAAGTCATCAGTAACTAATTACTGATTACTTCCCCAAAAAGTATAAATACCTCTCGGGGTATTCTGGATTCCTCCCACAGCCCACAGATATGCAGTTAGTAAGGTCAGGTTAATTGGTGGTGGTCGCTGTGTGTTAGTTTGATCGATGACCTGTCTAGAGTGTGCCCTGCCTTTTGCCATTGTTACCATGGAAATGGATTGTATTTCACTCACATTTGCAACTAAAAAAAACAGGCCTACATTTGAAACGTATTTAGAAGCCACATGTGTATAAAAAGTCTGATAACATTAAGCCTACGCACACTGAAAGGGTAAAAGTAGCAGTGATGATAACACTGGGACAGTTTAACATGGAGCTGGAGTCAGTTTACACCACAGTGAGGAGCAAAGAGGTCAGGCTGAGTGAAAGAAAACATGTTTCTGGCAACATAGAAAACAGTGCTTTTCCTGTAATCACCATGAAAACATTTACTGGTTAAAAGCTAGTTGAAGTCCTTTATCAGACCACCTGATCAACCAACAAAAGCAAACTTTGCAGCTGTTCCATCCACTGTTGTTTGTTTTACACAGCAAAACATCTGGAGTTAGCCTCCAGTGTGCTTTACTAGACCATATTTATTTCAAGGCTTTTGTAACATTTTTCAAATTGAAAGTGAAATAATATAAAATACTATGTTAATTAAGTTGTATTAATATTAAAAGAAGAAGAAAAATGGCAGAAATGATACAAATGCAGCATTGTTATTTCACAAAAATTGTAGTGGATGTCATTTGTGGACCTCAGTTTTTACAGATTTAACTTCCTAAAATCAGAACGTTTTCATGGCATACATTTTTAATTTCTCTTTGCATTTTGGGCTGATTGGGACCTGATGAATGTAAAAACAAAGACTTAGGTGATTTTTTTAACCTAACAACACAACAGTCAGTTGGTATTCTCAGGTATGGAGGGGGAAGTCAGCAGGTGGGGTCATAGTAGAAGTATTGCCAGAAGAGAGCAGTCACATTGATAGGGATCATCCCTGAGGCTATTACACAAAAGGCAAAGTTACTATCACATTAAATATGAGCAAATGTAGAGAATAAGATCCACACCTCTTCTGGTGCCATGCACTTACACATCCTCATCATCTGAACTGCTGTATTACTGTCCCTCCATCATCTTCATCATCCTTCAATGCTTCTGTGTGAGTCCTGGAAGTCTAAAAGATCCTGATATTACACTTAACTGAAACCAAACTTCTTTTTTTTTATTCCGCCTGTTCCGTTTGGTTCTTTTGCCATCAGAATTATTTTCTAAAGGCCAAGAAAGATGTCCAACGGATTTACTTTACCAAATGGACCATCCCAGCCTTGCCATATTGGTCTATTTGATTGATCTTTGTTTTTATTGTTTATTTTATTTTATTGTCACTTGCTACACACACAGACATGACTGGGGGAAGGAAAAGAGAGAAAGAAAGAGAGGTAGGGTAAGAAAAACAGTGGGAAAGAGGAACGGTGATAAAGGGCAAAAAACAAAAACCAAGAAAACAAACAGACAAAAAAAAAAAGTATCAATCACATGGATCACCTGTTGAGAAAGAAAAAAGAGAAAACAAGCAAAAACGAGAGCAATACAATAAACAACATCATC